CATTTGCATCAATTCCGGCGTTCCACAAGGATCAATTTTGGCATTATTCCTTCTCCATATCAATGATCTGTTTTGGGAGTAACAACTTGCCCCATCCACAGCTTTGCAGATGATGGTACCCTCCATGTACTGCGTTCTCTTCCAGAATTCCCATTTCTTCTCAGGAAACTAAGAACTCACGGCGCAGGCAGGTCAATGCTGTCAATGAAGATCTGGCTGAAATCACAGCCTGGGGAACCAACAACCTAGTTGAATTCAACGCCACCGAAACTCAAGCCTGTATTTTATCTAGAAAGGCGGAACTCAGTATGCCCGATATTGTATGTCTGGCTCCACCATCCCCACCAAGCCCTCCATATCTATGCTGGGTATTTCCATCAGCAACACTCTTTCATGGGATAATAATGTCAGATCCATCGCAAAAGCTGCTTCACAAAAACTCGGATTCTTGTTCCGCGCGAAAAGCTACTTTACACCTCAACAGCTTCTCATGATCTACAAAGCGCAGATACGGCCTGTTCTAGAATTCTGTTCCCACATATGGGGTTCAGCACCAAAACATACGCTGATGCTTTTAGATTCCATCCAGAGAAGAACCATTCGCCTGGTGGGTGACGCCACACTCACTCACTCTTTTTTCTATCGGTACTTCCACGGGAAATGTTCTTCGGAAATCTCTGCTATCATCCCTTCACTAGCGATACCAGTCAGACGAACTAGACAAGCCCAGTCAGCACATCCTTTCGTTGTCAACCTCGAAAGATGTCGAACAGCACTTTATCAAGACTCCTTTATCCATAGAACGGCTAGGCTCTGGAATTCATTGCCTGTGGAAGTATTCCCAATAACATATAATCTCCAGAAGTTCAAAAAAATTCCAATACCTACCTCCTGTCCCTTTCCTCCCTAGGAACGCACGATGTTCTGTGAACATTATAAGGATTCCCTTTCGTGCGCTCCTAGCGATAAAAAAAAATCTTCATGAACGACGCCTGCGGCGGACATTGGCTGTTCGATAAAATGTTATATTCATGTGGTAACAGTAGATGTTCAATGTCTCGAAATCTGAGATGTTTTTGTGCTCGCTGGGAGGTATACCAGACTTTCAATAACGAAAAGATAATGTACAGGAATGGATGAAAATAATTGACGAGTATGATGCTCTTTTGCTATCCTTGGGACGAAGGCACTACGAAATATACTCGGAAATATATGAGGCTTCATATATACTCAAGGCTACTCAAGGCTGCTCATCAAGGGTACTTCTGAAAAGTGGTATCATAATTATATAAAAGATGAAATTGGATGGGCCAATTATAGTTGGGCAAGATGGAAAGAAATAGTTAGCGATGTTTATTTTCAGTTTGGCAGAAACACTCATGGTATTTTTATGGATATTGCTAACCATCGATCTCGAGGTGCTGAATCATTATCACCTCGACTATCTCGCTAAAGCAAATGAATTGAAAGTGAATTTCAGTGAGGCAGACAAAATTTCTCTTATATTAGGAGCAATAAATGATGAGACCGTATCATCTTCAATCAAAGCTGCGCATCTATGGTTTAATATCATATTTGTTGGCGAACTTTTTTAAAGATCGAACATATGAGATACCAAATAATAGTAAATGGAACACTCATTCAAATTCATTTCGCTCAAATGAACATGGGAGACATTTATTCGCTCTCTCTCAATGCTAGCTGAACAGCTGCTCTATTTGCTACATTTTCGATTTTATGACGCAATGTCGCAAATGTAATGAATGTCGTTAAATTAATGTTGGTGACATTCACCCAACTCTACTAGATTTGATACGAAGAGTGACTTGATATACAGGGTGTTTCCCAGGGGCGTATTTACCTAAGGGCCAAAAGAGCCATGGCCCGGGGCGGCAGGCTGCGAGGGGCGGCGCAAGCCGCACCACGCTTAGGTTTTTTTTTACTTTATTCCTCCGAAGAAATTAGCGTCGGCGGCACACAGTTAGATTACTCCGTGTCGGAACCTTTGATGTCGATGTTCCAATTTTACCTCTCACTCACATGCACTCCTGGGAAACAAAGTCAACAAATTCTGGGTGCGCAAAGCATTTGTCATTTATTGCGAGCGGTGGTATTGTATCCGATGGCTCCGCCTCCATGCGCGTGGGAAACAGATTCCAGTTGCGCAGAGGATAAATTGGACCATGCAAAAGGACTGAGTAGTGAGTAAGCTAACTGATTCTTTTAGCAATAAACTATAAACTTTGTCGGCGGTATGTCTGTCGGACTCCGTCGCGCATCGCGACTCATAAGTTCGGGTGGTTCGAGTCTAAATATAGCCGAGATTGGCGCAAGCGCAGTGAGTAACTGATCTCTGGCGCAGGCGGCGTGGCGGGGTTAACGCCATGCGTGCTTCAGTGCTTCTGTTTTGTTTGTTGTTGCAAGTTGTCTCTAATCAGCGCATCAAATTATTAGGTTTTGTTCTGGACTTTGAATACTAACCTATATTATCAGTCAGTGTTTACAAATTATTTTATAATATTAGGCAGTTTGTAGCTACGATCAGTTATTTCACCTAAGATAAGAACTAGAGTTAAACTACGAGTTAAAAGTTGAATAACACATATAACTAACTCGTAGCTGAATAAGTTTAACGTTAGTGTTGTGTTACTACTGTTACTGACATGGATCCTACTAAAAAAAACTAAGTGGTCACGCTTACAGAAGAAAAGCTTTAGAAAAAACACAGAAGCAAGAAAACATTGTCGAACAAACAGTTAAAATTGACAGCTTTTTCAATGAAAATTTTTCCATTCATTATTATCATTCTCAACCCAATATACTGCTGGCTTTCATTTCATGATTTAATGTTTTGCTCATTTTCCGTTGATTTATGGGGCGGCAAACCCTACAGGCCTGGGGCGCTGAATATTGAAATACGCCCCTGGTGTTTCCTAACTACGGTTCCTAACTGCAGGGGCCGGTGATTTATTGTTAGGTCATTTTGAGAAGAAAAGTGCCTATGAACATATGTCCAGAGTTTCTTCGTTTCTGAGATACAGGGCGTTGAAATTAAAGAATGAAAAACGGTAATTATAAAATATCGAAAATATCCTGGAACCGATTTGGTTGAAATTTGGTACTTTAATATGTAAAATTTTCTAAAATTTCAGCATATCAAGTGTCAATTATATTTTTGGCGAAAATAATGAAAAACTCATTTCTCCAATGCAGGTGTTCATATGATATGCAATACAGTATCTTTAATTTTTTTTCTCGAAAATGAAGCTGGATATGAAGAAACCACAAGAGACCAAAAAGTTGTATTTTCAGTTGCTTAATCTAAAAAAATAAAAGAATTTACCGAAAAAAGTCAGTGGCGTACTTTTTTCCACAATATTGTTGGCTGTGGTGCCCACTGAGACGCCACTGGCCCCAATAATTTCAATCTAAATTGGGCTAAATAAGCGCCTTATTAGTTCAAATAAAAGTATCAAATTTCAACCAAATCGGTTTCAGGATATTCATGATATTTTATTATAATTACCGGTTTTTTTTCTTTAATTTCAACGCCCTGTATCTTAGAAACGAAGCAACTCCGGACATATGTTAATAGGAACTTTTCTTCTGAAAATGACCTAAGGAATCATCACCTCTGTAGTTAGGAATCGTAGTTAGGAAACACCCTGTATATAAAGTCAGTCTTTAATACGAACGTATTAGCAGTTAACACTGGCAACACTGACGACAAATCTCAACTCACTTTTTAAGCGGCGTTCACAACCAAACCTTTCACGTTTCGCATTCTGATTGGTGACGCAGCATCTGGATAATGATGGAAGTAAGATATATGGTGCGCGTATTCGGCCATTATATTACGTATTGAAAATTTCAGAAAAATCACTGACCGCCTACTATGATTTCTCTACGTCACAACGAGCGAGACGTTGATTCTACATTTTCCCGCTAGATGGTGATGCTGCTATTGCTGCTGTGACGAGTAGAAATAAAATGGAAAATGGCATTTTAGGTACGCGGAACATATGTAACAGTGGGATTATTCAACTCTGAATTCGAAAAATTTGCGACAATTTCAAAACTAACAGGTGTCATAATTGTGCAATGTCGCCATCTATTAGAAGATCGACGGAACCATTGCTCTCGCTGTTCTCGAGTAAAATTTCTGAAACAAAAGCGCATCAGTAATTATACCATATCTTACTTCCATCATTATCTGGATTAAACGTGAATTGAACTGAAGCTGATGTCATTCACAACAAAAAAACGTGAACGTGAGTTTTTACGGCTTTTCTCAGTTGCCTTGGTATTATCATTCATTCTTCATCCTGAAATACAGTGAAATAATCATAGCAATGATATTGGTTGAATAATGAATAATATTCATAGAACTGGCGGAGACGTGAATTGAATACTTGCGATGGGAAAAATTAATCCTAAAAAAGAGAATAAGAATATAAACAGTACTTATCTATCTACTATTCCCCCGATTCAGAGAAAACAATCATGAGCAAACATATTATCATAACTTCCGTTGAATGTTCCATAATAAACATGTATTATTTGAATCACAACTTACAGTAGTATTTTCCATTTTTAAAACAATAACGTTTTCACAGACGATGGCATCTTGTAACGCAAATAGCTGAAAATATTGAGCTTTTCGCGTTATTTTAATTCCAGATTTTGCTTCATTAATCAGAATACGAAACGTAAAAAGCAAAACGTTAAAAATTTGGTAAAGGACGCCGCTGTATCATGTCGCACTCGTTTCTTGTGGAAAACGCTGAAATTTGCCACGAGTGCCTGCAGGCAGTTCCCGCACACCGTTGAAAGCCAGAATATTGGTTGTATTGTGCGGGAACTGTCTGCAGGCACTCGTGATGTGTCGATCCTGTAGTGACTTGTGACAACAACTGACAAGTTGAAGGTGGAAGGTCATGTAAATAAAGATAATTTATGATAAACACGAACTGACAACAACAACAAGTTGATTCTTGGAAATGGAAAATTATTTTGCTTATTCCCGAAAACAGTTATTTTATCTGTAAACTTCAAAGGTATGACTGATATCTTTCAATTATTCTCAGTTTCTCACAAATTCAAGGAGGCGAAGAGCGAGGTGAAGAGGTATGTTTTCGGTGTTATCAAACTTTTAGGGAATACTTTAGTATAATGATTATTATTATTCAGATTGAATTCAGATTGTTTCTGCACTTTCGTTCAGAAACTTCTCGGACAGAAGCATATGATTTTAAAAACATAAATAAATGAACACTTCAATGTCTTCAAGGGGATGTATTTAATTTTTTTTATGGGTATGTACCATCCTTTAGTAATTTTTTTAGTGTCTCAAGATGGTGCATGGTGAGGTGCATGAACATTTTTGGAATGGAAAAATTACTAGCATTACTTGTGCATCTCCTTGTGCATCAAGGGGTGTCTCACTCTGACAATCTGGTGTACACTTTCCCTTGAAATCTGAAATCTTGGATGTCTCACCAATCCAAGCTTCAATCTTAAAAATCCACAAATATCTCTTCAAACCCATGAGTCTCTTGGAATCTGACAATCTGCGAAAATAATGTGTCATCTTTGGAAATCACAGGTGGATTCTTGAGATTTTATAAATCTTATGGAATCTCAATTTTTTTTTCAAATCCTTCCTATCCTGGAAATATTGTGACAATATCTCAATCCCCAGCAAATATCTCTCAAGCCTAAGCACAATTCTCTCAATCTGACTTCCAGAATATTCCTCCAAATATTCCTTGGAATATTCCTCCAGGAGGAATTTCCTTGTTGTGAACTATAAAAAAGGGTGGGGGTAAGGGTCCGTTCTTGCCCTCATAACAACATCATAACTGCACCTACCTGCCTATTCACCAAGAAAGATGGGTATGTTGGTATAACAGATTTTCGTTGTTTATTCCAATGGCATTGAATGTGAGTTACTGTGTGCATGCTTTTCTACTGAAATATACAGGGTGTTCCATTTGAACTAACCAAGTTATGACAATTGGAAAAAGTCAACATTGGCAGTTTATTATAAATGATCCTGTAAGATCACTCTCAATTATGACTTCCTTGCAGGGAGAGTTGAAGTATCATCAAAGTAGTTGCATAATATTTTGGTTGAAACTTTTGAAAACAAACATCAGCAGGCATAATGGAATCAACATCTGTGATGTATTATGATTTTTCGAAATAATTCTAATCAATGTGGCAACGTTGCGAAAGAATTGTAACATGGTTGTGTAGACAAGATAATGAAATAGTATATTATTTATCCAGCATGGCATGATAGTCATTTCCTAGGTGAATGAAGTTTCCAGCATGAGCCATAGTGAAATTTTTCATTTCTTTGGCTTGTGGCCAACTGATTTTCTCTTAAGTAATGCTCTATTTATTTTATCTCTTGGGGCGCACGAAAGGGAATCCCTTTAATGTTCGGAGAACATCGTGCATACCTAGGGAGGATAGGGAGGGGGGTACCTAGGTATTAAATTTTTGGATATTATAAGTTCTTGGGAATACTTTCTTAGGCAAAGAATTCCAAAGCTTTGTCGTTCTATCAGACAGAACTGTCTGCTTGAAATTAGTCATTTCATGGGATATGACATTTATTATCATGAAATAATAACATGCACAATGAAGTCATTTTGTTATGAAATTAGGCAATGAAATTAAAGACCGAATTGAAGACATACAAAGTATCTCATCAATTTGTGGAAAACATTAAAACATGAGCAATTTTGTGTTTTAAGTCATAGAAAAAACAAAATATATGAAAATACAGATGTTCCATTTCAAAAAAATCGTGATTCATGTTGCTGCGTGTTCAAAAAGAGATCAAGATAATTTCCATTTGTCGACCTAAGGATATTTTACAATATCCCCAAAAAGATTATGTCTATCTCTTATTGCCCTGGACCTTATAGGGCTTTTCCACATTATGGTATATAGGAGGAGCGATTGCTTATTTGAATGAAAATGTCACGAAATTCAAATTTTTTAAATCTAACCTCCACCAATTAATGTCAGTGGCATACATTTCTTTTTCAATTATATTGATGAAGTAGTAAAAAAACTCCTAGTCATCACATCATCACAATTCTTTTAATGAAAATCTCAAATGATCAAATGATCTTTCAATATTTTCATTAAAAGAATTATGGAGATGACTGGGAATTTTTCTACTAATTCATTCATTCACTCCACTTTTAGATATCATGGACTCAAGCATGGACTTCTACTACATATTAATAAAATTGATTTTCAAGTTGCCCCTCCGGACGCAACTAGTCTTTATAATTTTTTTATCAATGGCTAAATAAGCTCCTTATAACTAACTATGAATATCATTGAGTAAAGCATGTCTGAAATAAGAATAACAAATCGATTTTAAAACAAAATTTGAATACCTTGTATTTTGAAAACTAAGCTACATTCGAAAAAAAAACTATTCTACATTTTCGTCTTCAACTTAAGCCAGGATTCGCTCCGTTCATTTTGTCAAAGAGGATAGGAAACACCTTATATACTGTCTAAAGGTTAATTATTTCTGAACCTTTTGTTTCACATAAGTGTATTTTTTCTTGAAAAAAAAAACTGTCAACCTTTGAACCAGAAGAATTCATTCATTTCCTGAAAATTCCTGATGTTGAAAAATCCGTGCAATTTTGATAAACTTTTTAAATCTTTCGACAGTTTAATGTATATTAAAAACTCGATTTTTATATCTCTTCATGGATCATCGCGCCTAACTAGGGAGAATAGTGAGAGGAGCAGGTAAGTGTTGGATTTTTTTTGGCCATTTGGAGATTATTAGTTCTTGGGAATACTTCCATTGGCAAAGAATTCCAAAGCTTCGCCGTTCTATAGACGAACGAGTTTTGGTAGAGTGTTGTTCGACATTTTTCAAGGTTAACGATGAAGAGATGTGCTGACTGGGCCTGTCGAGTTCGTCTGGCTGGTATTGCTGAAAAACATTTCCCGTGGAAGTATCTATTGAAAAGTGAAAGGTCGCCGACTTTTCTTCAGCGTTCTAATGGGGTCAAAGAGTTTGTGAGTGTGGCTCTTCTCTGGATGGAATCTAAGAGCATCAGCGCATGTTTGGTTTTGTTGGGAATGGTATACCAGACATTGTTATATCAGGCATACTGAGTTCCGCCTTTCTAGAGAAAATACAGGCTTGAGTTTTGGTGGCATTGAATTCAACTAGGCTGTAATTTCTGAGAATTTGAGGAATCTTAAGAATCCTGGACAAATCTTGAAAATCTCGCATATTTTTGGGAAAACCCAGGAATCTTGATGAACATTCAGGATTCTCTCCATCATTGAAAAATCCCACAAATCCTTAGAAAATTCCTAGAAAGCTGAAGGAATCTTGGAAATTTTGCAAATCCTAGGGATTGAATCTCACAATAACCAATCTGATGTACACACACATTTAGTTGAAGTGAGACGCCCCTTGTTGTGCATAAATGTTTTATAAATCATAATGCCTAATAGTAGTAATAGTCATATTTATATTGAAGAATTTTATTCACTTGATGTTCACTTGTCTTACAGAAGGTAAACATGGCTGAGCTGTTTAATTTCACTGATGAACTCTTGGAAAAAAACTGTCTTTGTTGTGCAGTTTGCAAAGACATCTTGAGGCCACCAATAATGTTGATTGAAAACATTGGTAATATATGTTCATCATGTTTTGATGAAAAACATGAACTGATGAACTGGAGATACTTGAATAACTATGCACTAGAAAACATTATCAAGATGCTGAAACTACCATGCAAATTCAAAGAAAAAGGATGCAGTGAAAGGTTCTCATATGAGGAATTGATTTTACATCAAAACAATTGCACCTATCGTACAAAGCTATGTTCCATGTTTGAATTTGCTGCTTGTGACTGGGAAGGAAATACAAGAGATTTTATAGACCATTTCAAAAACTGTCATGGAGACCATGTCATAAATTTCGAGAACAACTTATTTTTCCTAGAAACTTCCCTAAAAGAAGTCAATTTAGTGAAATTGCTAGTGATGAAGCATCACACTTTCATCTTGAGAATGAAAACCAATCTTGATAAGAAAAAGCTATACTATATGATTTGCAGTGCAAAGGATGATTACAGCTCTTCTTGTGAGTACTCTGTGAAACACAAGGGATCAAGTGAAAATTATATCAAGACTAAATCAACAATTCTTTCAACATATCACATCTACAGTGACTTTGATGAAAACATTGCAGTTGAGGTTGATCTTGAAGCTCTAAAAAAAATTTCCCACATTTCAGACACAATTACGAATATTTTTAAGATGAAATTGGAAGAAAGTCCAACCGAAGTATTGGATGAAAAGATGTTACATTTTTTTGAATGTCCAGTTTGTAAAAACTTCATGAAACCTCCAATATTCCAGTGTCAATCAGGACATAGTGTGTGCAATATGTGTAGACCAAGATTAGAAAAGTGCCCTACATGCAGAGCAACTTTCGGAAGCACTAGGAATTATTCCCTTGAAGGGCTAACTGCTGGAGTACAATATCCTTGTATCTATCATGACTCTGGGTGCACTGAAATATCCTTGGCCAGTCAAATTGTCAAGCATGAAAGAGAATGTCCTTTCAAGCCATATAATTGTCCCTTCACTAACTGTCCCAGTTCAGGAAACCAAGAGGCTATCATAAATCATATGATCAACTTCCATTTTGATTCTGTTATATATTCTGGAGCGTCTGGCTATACTGAAACATTCAGGATGGACCAAAATTTTTACAATAAGCTTTGTGACAGAAAGTGTGTAATAGCCTTCAATCATATTTTCCGTTTGACTTGCAGACGATTTGCAGATCAGTGTCTCATGGCTGTTGAAATCATTGGATATAAAGATGAGTCAAAAACATTCATTTATGAAGTTGCTATCATAGATATGAGGAGACCAGAAAAAAAAGTGATAAGGACTGATTATTGTTTGACTGAAATGCATGAAGATGAGTTGTTAAGGAGATGCATCACATTTCCTAATACTATTTTGTCTGCTTACTCCAGCAATGGAGTGGTAACCTATAGCTTTATGATTAGAGAAAAATAAGGTAACACATTTAGGTACTACATTCTATTTATAGGCATAGGTATCCTTCACAAGATGGAAATATCTTTGGAAACATCTAAAATTCAAGGTTTATCTCCTGCATAAAAACCGGTTACTAAAAGTTGACTCTCTTAAACGAATCTTCTGGTTTTGATGAATGAACTATCTGTTGATTCAATGCTGTGGTATCAATTCTTATTCAAACTCAATTTTTAGCACATTTTTTGTGCAAGTTAGTGTCATTTTATTGTCCGATTTTTTCCAGGTTAGTGTAGGTTTCTCAGATTTATTTAAAGCTGGCAGTGCAGGGCATTCAGTTTCTAATATTTGCTAAAAAAATCTTCCTATTTGACTTATTTTATTCAATAGGAATGTTTTCTTTCAAATTTGTACATAATTACTATGCAAAGTCAGTTGGAACAACACATCACTTCGGGCCATCGGTCCCTTTGAAAGATCAAAGAGAGCGGCAGCGCGGCCCGACATTCCTTTGATGATCTGTTTCAACCGAGGTTTCAACTGACTTTGCATCAACTATACCTAAGTGAATTCTTCGTGTTATCAAGCATTATTCAATGAGTTTCGGAGCTGCATGATTTCAAATTCGATTTTAAATAAGCTACAACATTTTAATGTTATTCATTATTGACTATATGTATATATTCTTGAATTTTCAATTCAAACAAGTTAGTCTAGTCAAAATGTTAAGCCATTTGGAGTGCTTTCCAGCAATTCAGAATTAATACATGAAATATGATACAAAAACTTCACTTGGGAGTCCTTCAATAATGTCAAATTGTATAAGACTATATAAAATAATAATACCAACAGATATATGTAAGAGCTCATAAATGTATAGATGTAGCATTTTTGAACAGGTCGTCAGATATACAGGGTGTCCCATAATTGGCGAGTGAACTGGTAGTGAATAATTGGCATTCAATTACTTCACAGTATCCTTAGGGGACCTTGATGTCGATAGTCACCAATTATAATCGAGTTATCAACAAGTTGTTAGACCCCAGTCGTTGAATAAAACTATATCCAAAATGATTATTTCATTTGACCTCACAGTATAGGTAAGCCATGATATTATAGTTATTAATTTGTGACTGTTTCGAGCAACCAGCTTGTTAAAATATTTCTTATAATCCAAAATCCATAACAAAACATCATGTATATGCTGGCTAGGCTAGAGACTTGGCAATACTGTTCTAAACGCTGAGAACTGACAAGACAATGCCCACAATCCTGTGTTGTCACGTTTACCGGATGAAATCTTCTCTAGTGTGAATTAATATAATTATCATTAATACAAATACATCATATGCAATAAGACAAAACATATATAAGAGGGAAAATTACAAGACAATTGATTTTTCAAAGCTAATTGAGATTACCAATACATAATTGAGAATTTATGAAAAATTATTAAATTAATAACATTTCTAAAGTTTCCATTCGTATTTCAACATACTTATTATGGCGATTGTGCTATGTTCTACTCCTACTTATGAAATCGTGACATCAGTTTTTACCTATTTGCGGTAAATTTCTAGCCGTTTAAAATTACAGTTGCAATATTGATGATTTTGGCACTTCCAAAATGGACAGAAAAAATCTTAAAAAATATGGAATTGAAAGTTAATTGAGTAATGATTATATTCAAGAAATTATTATAGCCTATCAGCTTGCCAAACTTAACCAGCGGCTTCTACGACCAAAAATAGGAAGAAAAGTTGCCAATAAACATTGAAACTGTTTTCGACTGACTGCTGATTCATCATTCTGAAATCAAAAAATTCACTGAAATTGACAGATACTTGTGAGTAGACATTCTATTCATTCCAAATATTTCGACTCAACATTCTGATGAAATTGATATGACTATCAAAAGGTTTTGTGGCTTCAGTGAACTGTCATTATTTCGGAAGGAGAAGATATGTCACATTCATTTTCGTTGTTTTTTAATCATCAAGTTTTGTTTCATCAATAATGAATTGATATAATATCATTTTCAATATCAAATAGACGAAACACTACCGAAGTGACAACCTGACAACTGACAGATTTCACCAGCTGATCAACTGCTGCTGATTACTGATGAAAACGTGTTCCAAAATAGAGCACTATATTTTTGATTTTATATTTCGGAACACAGATTTTCAGCAGAGTCAGGATATATTCCGAATTCAACTGGTCAGTACTGTCAGTAGATCCACTGACTCTGCTGAAAATCTGTGTTCCGAAATATAAAATCAAAAATACAGTGCTGTAATTCGGAACACGTATTCATGGTTTTCATCAATAGTCAGCAGCAGTTGATCGGCTGGTGAAATTCATCAGATAATTCAGCCTCCTGCTTGACATACATTTTGGAAATTTAATATTTTACATGGAAGAGCAATCGGTTCTTGTAGCCTTCATAGTTTCTTCGATTGTTGACGATGACTACTCAAGCTAGAGTCATAATGAATACTTGATGAACATTTATGTAATATGATGATGTATTTAGGAGACATTTCAGGTTTATTTTAATATTCATTTACCCAATGCTGCTACTCAAGCTAGAGTCATAATGAATACTTGATGAACATTTATGTAATATGATGATGTATTTAGGAGACATTTCAGGTTTATTTTAATATTCATTTACCCAATGCTGCTTCTCCTTTCGTTACCTCTTCTACTTCATACTCTATATTATTCTCAGCGTTTATTATTTCAATAACGGGTATTTTCTAATATTGAAAATAATATAATTAACAACGGAAATAAATGTTACATTCCTTCCCCCTTTAAAATAATGACAGTTTACTGAAACCACACTACCTTTTGTCAGCAATTTCAGCAGAATGTTCAGCCGAAATATTTGGAATGAATAGTTTATCTGTTCACAAGCATCTGTCACATTCAGTGATTTTTTTTTATTTCGGAATGAAAAATCAGCAAATTCAGTACGGTCAGTTGAATTCGGAATATAACATTAGTGGATTTACTGATCTTACTGACCAGTTGAATTCGGAATATAGCCAAAATGTGTTGAGCTGGCAACAGCTTAAGTGAAGTGGGGCGGGAGTCAGAAAAGGCTCATTCGGATCGGTAGTTCATCGAATAACGAATACGAAAAACAACCGCAAATAATATTGATCTACGCTGTTATTTGCCTTGATAGCGAATAAATAAGTATTGTGTACCAGCCGGAATGTTTCTTACATTGAAAACGTACCTAAATTACCATTTCCTTGAGGAGGAACCATTTCAACATGAGTCGAAAAATGAATCCTAAGAGAGCTACAGCCCCTCAAAGGGTGCTCCTGAATATTTCCTAAACGCCATGTGATAGAGTTTGGTACAAGAACTGAACATTCTATGCCCAATGCACTGAAAATGAAATCATTCCAAAATTTCAGGGTGGGACTACATTAAATATTACTCCAACTTTTTTGTATGCATATTTTTCGACAATTCAGTCTCAGAAGGAAGAGCTCTACCGATTAGGAAAATGAAATATCGGGTGTTCTTTCTGAAAAATACTAGTTTATGTAAAATGTTTGGGTTCACGGGGCTTTTTCGCATTTCCTAGTACCGAATTCTGAATGCCTATAAAAATACTTCATATTTGCCCATTTCCTCGTTTTTGTAGGACCAATATTAACCCTTAACTACTAATCACACGTCTCAGAGACAGCATATCAGCATCTGATTTGTTAGATTACCACTGCTTTTCAATATCGGCCATTGTCCTACCACGTAAATTATGTCCAACCAGCACTCATTCAGTATCCTAAAGTTGATCTATGTACAGGGTGTTATTTAAGTACGTGGCCAAACTTGAAGGGGTGATTTTTCGAGTGATTCTAAGACGAAAAGTTCATATAAACATAGGTCCGGTAATGCTTCGTTTTCAAGATACAGGGTGTCAAAATTTTTAAAAGAAATCGTTTTTTTCGTGAATATCGCTAATAACCCTCCAACCGATTTTATTGAAATTTGGCAGTGTTATTCAAGGTCATGAAGAGCTAATTTAGCTCTAACTATATCGAAATCATCATGTCCAGTGGCGTCCCGGAAGGCACTGTAACCAATATTTTTGACAGAAAAAATGTGCGCCACTGATTTTTTTTGCAATTTTTGTATTTGTTTCACATTGAGCAACTGAAATTACAACTTTTTTATATCTAGAATTTTTTTCGTATCTTGCTTTGTTTTTGAGAAAAAACATAAAAATCACTTCATTGCACATCCCTGTGACAACACAATAAAACATTTCAACTACTAAACCATCAAAAACTGGGGTCTTACTAATATTTTTTCATATTAATACTCTATTCTAGTCTAAGAATTTTCTATCAAAAGCATAACAGATTCACCTGTAATCATTAAAAACTCTTCAAAAACAATTTTTCATTGTGTTGTGGCAGGGACGTGCCATGAAGTGATTTTTATGTTTTTTATCAAAAACAAAGCAAGATACGAAAAAAATTCTAGATATAAAAAAGTTGTAATTTTAGTTGCTCAATGTGAAACAAATACAAAAATTGCAAAAAAATCAGTGGCGCACATTTTTTCTGTCAAAAATATTGGTTACAGTGCCTTCCGAGACGCCACTGGACATGATAATTTTGATATAGTTAGGGTTAAATGAGCTCTTTACGAACTTGAATAACACTGCCAAATTTCAATAAAATCGGTTGAAGGGTTATTAATAAGATATTTACGAAAAATTTTGACACCCTGTATCTTGAAAACGAAGCACTACCGGACATATGTTTATATGAAACTTTCGTCTTAGAATCACTCAAAGAATCACCCCTTCAAGTTTGGCCACGTACTTGAATAACACCCTGTATATGGTTCAGTTTTAGAAATATCTTGAGTGAAAGATAGATTCCCTTCTCGTAGACATATAGTTAGTTATTACGTAACAATAAAAGTTCAATTTCGCCTGTAATACGTATGATTGCGTCTATATCTAACAGGCATTGTCATTTTTTTCAATTTGCATGTGTATGAATTCGTTCTGTGTCATATTTTATTACGACTCTAACTGTTTTCAGAATGACAATAATACCATAGGTAATTTTAGTATTTCAATTTTATTTTAGTATTTCTATAGATCAATGTCGAAATTTTGAACATAAGGTACTCCTCTATTAAATTTTGATCGCCACTGAAATTTGTATTTTTATTTCAATTTTGAACATCATTTTCTCTTCGCCAAATATGTAGAGAACGTGTTTGAATAGCTCACAAAAATAAAATGAAAAATTTTGGATTTATATGGACATTCAAATATTCCCGTCTGTGAGACGTATGGTTAGTGACAACGTTATATATTTGGAACGTTAGTAGTTAAGGGTTAAGACTGCCATGCCAAATTTGATATGTGGTCGCTTACGCCATGTGATTTTAACAGGAAAGTATTCGAAATACCTCTCCGATCCTTTTACATGTTTAAAATTTTATGTTTGTTATCAGTATGACTATGAGGCTAGTGTATAATACTATTTTATGCAACTGCATGCATCCACCGAGACAAGTTATAATGGTTGTAGATGGGCGTCCAGTCCATTACATGAATTTCAATGGGGAAGTTTCCTTCAGATGAATTTTCATAAAATAAGTTCGGAACTCTCCAGTTTTATGTCCACGCTGTACAGAATGGCGACCGATGAAGTCAAAGTCGTTTTAATTTTCAAATTAAAGCAATTTCTAATTTTCGGGGCGATTAACTGTGACGAAAATAGCATTGAATCAATGTATCACTATCGGCTACATCCAATGATATACTATACTTCCTAATTTACTACCATCGGTCAGAACAGAATGAAGCCGCATGGCTGCTTCCCCTTTTTATGCCTGTCAGTATTTTGAGTGGTGTGGCAAGATAATAATCTGCAACTTTCCTAGAAAATAGATCCGTTTCATTAAGGAACGAAATCATTACCAAAAAAATGACAGTTATGAATAACATATTGTAATATAACGACAGTGAAAAACTATACATACTATCGCAAAATAATCTTATCTTTATTAGTAATCAACTTAATTCAGCCAATAAGAGATTTATGGGAATTATTCATAATACTTGACAAAGTAGGATTGAAGAACTTATTATATCCCATTGCTGTTTTGATATAGTTATTATGCATTCAAAGAACAATTCCGGAAATCTAGACATATTGATGATGTCGGCAACGTCGTACTGACACAGGGAATCGTATTTTAACTCTGTGTGAATGTTGATTTTCAGAAAGTACCTACAGGGTCATAGGAATGGTGGAAGAGCCAAGTTCCCCTTTTATTTTCTGAAGTGAAATTTGATCTTACGAAAAAAAGAAGAAATACGTATAAATTATTTTTTTACAAACTTTACAGTGAGATAAAAACCTCAATATAGGAAACTTTCCCATTGAAATGGCTTGTTTATTGACCTTTGCGAATTAGATTTCATCTGACGTAGTAGGTAGATAAAAACTCTTCGATTCGCTGAGGTGTCAAAGTTTTCGATTTCTCTTTTTGTATCCATATTCTGATTGCATAATTTCGCTCACATGAATATTGTGTTTTACGTTTATTGTCATGCTTAGCATAGAATGAATTGTCCACAAAGATGAACTTCATTTTTACCTACAGTCTTTGATGGAAATATGCAAGTAGAGGTACCTACCTAAAACATTCTCTTCGATTTCACTCTCGTCTACATTTCGCAAACATTTTTCATGAAGAATTCAGATACAAACAAAAATTGTTTTAATAATTCTGATTGCAACTAAATTCGAAAATCACCATTGACAGTTCCTACAATTGACAGGCCGGACAGGACTCGAACGACTGAAGGTGTGTTTAAAAACTCTGGTTGCCATATGTTTGAAAAATCGTGTTACCATGGTAACGTGTTAAATTTTTTGAATAAATCACAGATCATCAAACCGTGATTAATCGATCATTTAGCGTGGTACATATATAATGCGTCAAACTGTAAAAGTTCACAATAGCTATTATTATAATAATCAGTAGATACAGAATATATTTCTCTTGTTAGTTGTTCCTATATGAATGAATAATTAATTGTCCAAATCAATCAATTTCCTACGCTTGTAGAAAAAATATTGTTCCTAACTCATGCGGAAAGTGTCTTTACCGCATTCGAATGCTTGCCCGAACTCCGCTTCACTTTCCGCACTTGTTAGGAAAATTACTATTCCCAATAGTGAGTAGGCGAAAATTTGTTCCTGTCGTTTCTAAGGTGTTTAATAAACACTTCAAATTTGTCAGCTCTTGTCAGTGTCCGGACCGTGTAATTCAATTTCTTATGTCGGATATAGAGCTGGAGTGCACACCGCCAGACATAAAGGAAGCAGCGGAGAAAGCTGAAGAAAATCTTCTGCCCCAAAAAAGTAGACCGAGGTATGATAAAGCATATAATACGTACAGATCGAGATTGGTGCGCCAAAAAAGGGGTCACAAAAGCTGCATCGGAAAACATCGTTCTTGCCTACTTCAGTGAAATGGCTAAGACTAAGAAATCGTCAACCTTATGGTCTACGTATTCCATGATAAAAACAACTTCAATTATCAGAGACAAGGTTGACATATCAAAATATGGAAAATTAATGGCTTTTTTAAAAAGGCAAAATGCCAATTATAAACCGAAGGAATCAAATACCTTTACCCAAGGAAATGTTGATACTTTCTTAGATGAAGCACCAGAAGAATTTCCTTTTCTGAAGGTTATTATTCTAACACTAATAAAATAGTTATTTTTATTAATATTTTTCAACATTTTAGGTTGGTAATTGGCCTTTCGGCATATTCTCTCAAAATAAACAGAAAAAAATCCTCTCACGGGTGGGTGGGAAGTAAAAGTATGTAATATGTCAGTTTCATAATTTTCAAACGTCAGTAATGATGACATTACATATATAGTTGTAAATAAAGTTAATTCCAAATGCCAAACCCTATAATAGTAAGCAGGTTTGCCTCCATTCCTAGCCGGCATCATCGTCTGATGATAATGTAAACATCTGATAACTAAATGTATCATGACACGACATTATGACTAGAAATATTCTTGCAATCATTAACGAAACATAACATATGTATTTATACATTATGATAAATATTCGACTCGCTGTAAATGTAACATATCAATAAGTAAAATATAGTTATAGCACTGTTGAATGGAATAATTATGGAATAGCACCTTGAGAATAACATTAAAAATATTAATAGGTATACTTACGTCGAGGTATCTATAAAGTGCAATCGAATCATTGGTTCTGTTCATTCCATAATCATCCAAAAATCCGTAGTCGATTCCGAAAGCCTTCAGGTTTGGAGCATTCATATATTGTTCTCTGGGGGATTTCTGTCGTATCAACTCGATTCTAAAAATTTGTCACAGTTCATGTATTTATAATTCGAATGAATATAATACAGGGTGTTACAATTTGCTCCACCCCACCCCGCTACTTTCGTATTCCTAGAACGATTTAAGAATTTGTTTCTTCTCATAATATACTGCTCAATATTATATAAGTACTTTGTCGACCAAAAAAAAAATCAATCACAATTTCTTAGCCTACTGGGATTCAAAAATTCCAGCAAAATTGAAGAAAACGGATTAGGCGTTTTTTTACAAACATTTTGATAATGGAAATTGATTCGGACCAGCCACAAATACTCCTATATCAAGTTTCAAAAGAATATCTAATGAGGGGTGTTTTTAATCAACGTTACAATTTTTGAATAATTGCATTTTTCGAGTCACCGTGTATAATAATTCTTTTAAGAATTTAAATAATACCAGTCATGATAATGGTAGTCAGGATTAGATCATCTGACTTTTAAGACTTAAGAGTGAGAAAAAGAACGACGAGAATTGAAAATAACGTGCCAATGAGATATGAAAAGTTAACAGAGAATGAAGGAGATTTGATCGAGAATACAAAAATCTTGTTAGGGATGGTTTGCTGTATTATTCTTATTTTTATAATTTTTTGATGTTAATTTCTGATTGGTATCATTTAGTTTATTCTCTTTTCTTTTTATTTCTTGATAAAAAAATTAAATTTCTAGTGATTTTATCTACCTCTGTGTAGACAGATGATCTAATTCTGACTATACCATGATGCCTGGCAAAATTAAAAAAAAATGCCTAAACCGTTTTCTTTTATTTTGCTGTAGTTTATTATCATCGCAGTAGGCCGAGATATTGTATATTATGAGAGAAAAAAATTCAAATCGCCCTATAGGAATACAGTACAGGGGTGGGGTGTCCCAAGTTATTGTAACACACTCTATAATTAATCAGCAGAACTAGAGAAAACGCGACGGATAGATAATATTGTTCAAAATAGTTTAATTCAGAACAGAGAGGTTGAGTTGATCCGTTCTGTTGATTGATATATTACGCTTACGCTGTAAGCGTATTCAACGTCCATTCGAAGTTCGAAAAGGACCGACAATTTCTCTCACATTTATATTTTTGTCAAAAGCTTAGTCAATATTTTTGTGATAACATTAATGAAATATTATATTGTTTTTATCGTTGTATTTGGTTAGCCATAATAAATAGAAGATCATAATAGAAAAATTATAGTATAATTAGCTGCTATAGTTTTACTTTCCAAAAGGGTCCTAAATTCATGTGTGCTCAAGGGGCCCAGCATATAATTATACGGCCTTGGATATAGGATGTTTCCGGAATAAGGAGGATAAAATGGGGTGATGATGTTATTCTTTGATACATACCGGGTGCTATAGACTCATGGTATACCCCCCCTTTATCTTTTGGTGTTCTAGCAATATATCTGAAATATGGAACATCGAATATATGCTCACTAAAGGGCCCTTTCTCACATCCAGGATTTTTTTCATCTTATTCCGGTTTCCCTGGAAATTACATCAACTTTCGATTTTCAAATGGAACGCCCTGTATTTATGATTAATATAACAAATTCAACAATACCGGGTTTGATTGTTTCATTACGAAGATATTCACGTTTGAACGTTAGAGGTATACAAACAATTTTGTGTGACCGCGCAATATCGAAACTTCTTCCTCTGTCACACTCATTGAGCAAACGGAAACTTAGAACGCGAATATCTTCGTAATCGTAACAAACCATAATCAAACCGGGTATTGTTGAATTCGTTATAATAATCTCTAACCGATTATGGAATAAAATGCAGTGGGTGTTCCATTTGAAAATCGATAGTTATTGATGTCATTTCCAGGAAAATCGGAAAATGAAAAAAATGCCTGAAACATGAGGAAGAGCCCTCTAATGAGCATATTCGTTATACCAAATTTTAGAAATATAGCTAGAAAAACAAAGGAGAAAAGGGGGGTATACCATATATGAGTCAGTGTCACCCGGTATATTTAATAACGACGGCCCCTCCTCATATTTGAAATAGTTGAAGAACCCTTATTGAATAATCCATGAGAATTATTATGAAATAATTCAATGTTCTTGAGGAACACTCTAGGCATATTAATTCAACCAAACCTAATTAACCCTTTTATTTTGGTTCAAATATCATTCACCACGCCCATAAAAATTAGGCATCCTCTTTCATAGCTTGTATACCTACTTCATGTAAAATGTGAGATCATCTGGTGAACATTTGTTTGTTCTGATGATGACTCATTTATATGTTTTATCAGTGATATAGACCGTTCCAGAGGCTGTTATGCTAAACATCAAACAACCGCCAATCATGTTATCATTGCTAATACAAATAAATTAAACAAATTCATAATCAGTGTTGCCAGCTCCAAACATGAAATGTAGCAAAAAGTAAGGGGAAGTCGCTAAAGCGAACGAAGCGAGCAGAAAGCTCGCCGCAGGCGAAATTTTTGAATATTCAGCGACTTTTTATCGTGATTTATCGACTTTTCTGATCAAAATTCCTTATTTTATCGTAACATATCAGGTAAGAAATCGTAGAAGACTTTATTCATTCAGAATCTGTTCAAAAACAAACTGAATATCGGTAAATTTTTAAATTCATTTTCATTCGGTTCTATTAGGTACACTGAGAGAAACAGTCGGTAGTGAATATACCAAACGTTTAGTAAAATAGGCGCCAGTCACAACATTCATCAAATAATTTCAGAACAAAATTGTGCATCATACTATACTATAAGTACCTATCATACTATTTTGTATTGGTGATATTCGATATAGTATAGTGACTGGCGCCTATTTTACTAAACGTTTGGTACCTATATTTAATAGCGACTTTATTTTTCAGTGTAGGTACAGACATTGACATACATTGATAAATCACAACATATATTTTTTCTCGATCGTATTTGAGGTAGGTATATATGTCTTTCATCTAATCACATATTGATAAATCTGTCAAACCACACGTATAAACTCAAATGTCTAGTTCAACTTCACATACAGATCTGCGACTTCATTGCCATAAGTCACATTGGTTCCTATATACAGATGAGAAGTGCACAAAAGACGGCCAGGACTGTAACTTTTGAATTAATCGAGATAGGGTTTTGAAAATTGGTGGACAGCTAGTATACCAAATTGCTCATTAATTCACGAAACAATTTTCCTTCTATCACTTCGGGTTTTACTGGAAACGACCCCAACTTTTGATTTTTAAATGGGACACCCTGTACTGTATTCCATAATCGGTTAGGGATTGTCATAACGAATTCATCGATACCGGATTTGATAGGGTTATTTCAAACGATAACGCAGATATTCGCGTTCTAAAAGTTTCCATATCATATGCTCAATATATGAGTGTGACAGAGAAAGAAGTTTTGATATTGCGAAGTCACGCCCATTGAGCATATGGAAACTTCGAACGAATAAATATTTTTGTGATTGTTTGAAGAAACCTTATCAAACCCGGTACCGTTGAATTCGTCATATGATAATCCCTAACAGATTAGGTAATATAATACAGGGTGCCCCATTTGAAAATCGAAAGTTGGGGTCGTTTCCGGTGAAACTGGAAGTAAAAGAAGAAAAATTGTGTCATCAATTAATGAGCAATTTGGTATACTTGCTACCCTCCAACTTTCAAAACCCTATCTAGAATAATTCAAAAGTTACAATCCTGGCCGTTTTTATATGTTTCAATACTGATTCTGGCAAAATTAAAATGAAATCTTCACAAGCATCACAAGTTTTCAAACCATATCGAATATACAAAATATCATTAAAAAGTGGCAGAAGTGGCTCAAATGATGAAAGCAAACCCTGACGTATGTCATTCTCTTATTCTCTGCTTATCTCTTCGTCTCGAATGATTCAACAATCGAAATATCTATATAAACCACTATGACTATGTTCAAAACGCTAGAATTCCGACACGTCGCAAATGAAGTTGAAATGTCGAAATCAACTACCCTAAACTCTAAGAGGTGGCAACCCTGTCCATAATCCAATCACTGATTGGCAATCAGTACGAGAACTAGCGTTGCCATAGCTTGCTCGATTTAGCGAACTCTCGCTTGTTTTTGTCACTATAGTTCACTATAGTGCTCCTCTTTGTTAAATCTCACTCGTTTTCGCACATCTGCTCTGGTATAGGCAACAATATAGAATAACGGAGGTTTATGCTTCGACCAAGTAACCATACACTCGACCGGATAGCCTTATTGAAAACTAAGATCCCTTCAGAAATCATAATTAAGATGCTTAGGGTCGGTTGCATGATTCTCTTTATCAATTCAACAAGGAATCAACTCTTGTAACTCGTCAATCAACTGAGGCATGCTTTGTTATGGCTAATTCAAGAGTTGAGCTGTATTCTCTGATAGAACGACTTTCAAAAAAATATAAAAAAACCGTGAAAAAAAATTCATATTTTTTCATGTACCTAGGCAACAAAGTTATGTGTTGTGAGTTGATGAAGGGGCCATTCATTTATTTCATCAACAACAAAATCTCTTCTCTCTTTGAGTAATTACAGCCGATTCATGCATTATAAATTAAGATTGTTGAATTGAGAACTCATATTTCAAAGAATGCGTTCATGCAACACATTAACAACACATGTGCTTTACATTTTCATCACTTTAGTGCACTAAGTAGTCGACCAACTTTCAACTATTCATTATAATTGCATTATAGTTCTAGTGAACACGACTGATTTGCAAGATTAAATCATTGAATGACCATTTTTCCCACAAAATTATTTGTGGTGAACCTTTGGAAAATCCAAGCGACTCACATAACTTCGAATATTTAGTTCATTATAAGCATAAGTTGCATGAACTGGTTTCTCACGGCTAATGAAAATGTAATTATAATGTAGTGAAAATGTAATTATAATGAATGTAGCATGTATCCGTCTTAAAGGTCTCGCTCGATTTCAACAGCATATAGCTCGCTTGAAAAAAATATGACTGTGGCAACACTGACGAGAACAGTCCTCGACGGGAAAATGTTTTTTACATGCACCAATAGAATAGTACCGCGCATCAGGGTTGCCATGTTAGCGGTTTTGTCGCTAAATGTGGAGTGTTTAGGATAGGTGAATGCGACATTTCAACTTGTTAGGCGACGTGTCGGAATTCTAGCTTTTTCAAGATGATCATAGCGGTTTTTATGGAGATATTCTGATCAAATGGATTTGTAACGACGAATATGAATTCACATTGAAACATTCGAGACGAGATAAGCAGAGAAGAATATGACAGATGACACCCAGCAAACATACATTTACGGTAAACTGAAGGCCCAATACATTGCTCCCATAACTAGATGTTGCGGCAAAATGACTAGCGTTGGTACGGGGCCATCAAGAAAAGGACACTCTGGCCGACGGTTTCCCGACGGTCAATCAGCCGGCATTCATTCCATTGATGGGCTTTCAAATCCCCATACTGGCATAGGAACAACATATAAAAAATGTCTCGACTTTGGATGATAAGATTGCGATCTGATAAGATCTTCATTTTGGAGGATAACCTCATACATTCTCGTGACTTGGTAGCGCTGATGGTCCATTCTCCAGGTGCCCTATCCCATTCAGTCGTATTTTTGCAACGACTATATCATTGGATAATATCTCTATGAGAGCATAACTAGCTGCTCGTATTAGTATCTAAACTCATGTAGTGAGTATCGGTGAGATGTAAACGAATCGAAACAGATAAGAGAATATTTCAAACTAATATATTTTGATGATAATATTTCAACTAATACTTTGATATTGAGAGAAATAATCCATTATATCATTTCATTCGGATAATCTTGGATCCTTCTAGGAAAATATACAGTATGTCTAAAAAACTAGACAGTAAATTAAAAACTTTTTCATCATTAATTCCAGAAAAAAAAGTCATTTAACATAAAAACTTTTGCAAGGGCTAAAACAAAAAATACGAATATCAGATATTCATTTTTATCAGTCGTATACGAGGTGTGTCAAAAAAATGTTGTTCAAGTGTAAATAATGTACCGTTTTTATTTTCGATGATCCTTATCATATAAAAAAGTTGACTAGAATTGAAAACTACGGAAAACTACGTTCAAATATCTGATAACATCTATTCACGATGAGAATCATGTATTATTATTTCTTACAATAACTTCTGATCGATTAATATGGCAAACTATTTTATTATTAATTTTGCGGAAAAAAACGAGGAAAAAAGCATCCTTCACTGAAAGTTCTTCAAAGTCTAAAATCAATAATGCAGATATCATACTCATACTCATCAATGTTTTGAGTCATATGTCAAAAAATCCCAAATTTTTGTAGATCATACTCACGACTTTATTGAAATGATCTTATATGATGATCCTATAATAATCCCATCTTATGTTCATTCTCAAATATGAAAAAATTCTTGAAACATACATTTCAGGTTTTTAAGGAATATGATTTCTTTCATCGTTTTCTCTTTCGTATGATTGGGAGAATACTCAATGACCATACAGTGTTATCTGGAACAAATAGGATGAATGCCCAGCATTGGCCTTTTTAAAGATTGAGTAAACGAAGTTATTGTATTTCCCGACAACACCAAAGTCATTGAAACGGTGAAGGGCCAAAACTTATTTGCTTCACTGGCAAAGTGACTGCAAGAATGTGAAAGGCCAACCGATTTTTGCCGCTGAAGTCATTCCCCCAGCAAAGAAAGCATTGGGCCAATAACTTCCCGGTAGTTCATTGTTTGTTGGGCAAGTTCTGTTATCATCATTTGTGCCACTTCTTCCACATCATTCGTATAATATTTTGTCTATTCGATATGGTTTAGAAAACTGAAATGCTTGTTGCGAAAGCTTTTATTTTTCCTACACCAATATATTGAAACTTATAGGAACCAATGTGACTTATATAACTTGACTAATAACAATTTAGTCGCAGATCTGAATGATGTTGAACAGTTAAATGAGTTGTCATGGTATGGCAGGTTGATTAACGTGTGATTTGACCAAAGAAATACTTCAAATACGTTCGAATGCAATGTTATAGGAAATTTTAAATTAATTATTTTAATGAAGAAACAGAAATTGTCAAAGTCATCTCCATATTAAATGTCGTGGAGATGTCATGTAGAATTGTTCTTCCTTCAATAACCACCACTCCACTTTGAGCACTATGGACTTTACATACATGTTTTTTTTTTTTTTAATCTGAATAAAAAAGGTTTCCACGATGTTTTACCTGATGTTAAAACCTGCCTGGAAATTGGGAAAGATGATCAAAAATGTCGCTAGATCACGGAAATAAGTCGCTAAATTTTCAAAATTTCGCCTGCGACGGGCTTTTTGCTCGCTCCGCTCGCTGACGACTTCTAGCGGGTTTTTCCTAACTTTTTGCGACATTTCATGTTCAGCAGCTGGCAACACTGCTGCGCATATCCATATCGACAGTGCTCGACCACAGATAAACAAACCTTACCAGCTTACCACCTGAATGATAGGTATATATATATATAAAAGCTATTTATTGAGAAACTTCGAGAGGTTATATAGTTTTATACTCACCGCATGGTTCCTTTTTTTTCTTGGATCTTCGCTTGAGCTTCACAAGTGAAAATAATCACTGTTATAATCACGGAAGAAACTATCAATTCCTTCATTTTACTGATTTTCTTCCACTACAGAAAAATATATGTGTAGCCCAGAGATGCACTGGGTGGAGCGACACAGAGATGAATGATAAATGAAGCCGGCAGCCGGCAGTCGGCGGACCTATTTTATGGATACAAGATAAGGGATTCCCAGGAAGCTTATTGGCGCCTTCTAGTCTGCAACTCTAGAGTCTAGCCATAGCACCATAGCGAGGTTAATATTGCGCCTCGCTCGCTGCTCGCTGGGCGCGAGAAACTGAATATTTCCGGCCGAAATTGAAATAGCGAATCACTATCGGCGTTGATTGATATATTACGCTTACTATCGGCCTAACCAATAAATGCCTCCATAGTATTTTTTCGATTCATTGCTTCAAAAAAAAAAAATAATAATAAAAAAAAGATTATAGCTGGAGAAAGGGATCGAACCCAGGTCTTTTCGCTCAGAGGAAAGAATTTTACCCTAATGACTACCACTCTTCTGGCAAAATAAACTACATAATTACAAAACGATTTTATATGCTCTTGACTTGCCACAGCTTAGTGGCAATATATCCCGTATAGTGGTGCTATGGCTAGGCTCTACTGGTCTGCCAGTTTGCCACTTCTGCCAGTATAGTGTCAGCCTGTGTCTCTGTTACTGGTTACACCATTTGCAGATCAATACAAATATAATTTATTTAGCTATCTAAAGTTGTCCGTTGTCCTAGAATACAATAATAAGGGTATATATCGAGTGTAAAATAATTTTAGGGTATGAATATATGATTAGATTAGGTATAGTAGAAATCAGAGATCCATTTTAGAAGGATGGGAATCCCCGAGATAGTTTTTGGAATTGGAATTATTTATTTCAAATAGGTATACGACACGACGACTTGGCTTTTTTATGGCCGAATAAACATTGCACTTGACTTTGTCGTATATCTGTATGTACATACATACAGATTATTACCATATATATTCAACTGTTTACCACTGGAGCTCAAAGACAATAGCATGTCTCTGCATAAATTTAGAAGAACTTTGAGGGATGTTTTCACTGAAAATTGTTTTTATTCAGACCAAGAGTTCTTCTCTCACTACTCAGAATAAAGTTTTGAATGTAATTTCAAATAATATATTAGTTGCGATTGTAATTTATATTCCTATTTTTAGTGTGTTTAGTTGTCTATATTTTAACTTACATTTTTAATTGATGAGTTATGCTTAAATTGTCTTTATTTATTGTGCTTATTTACTTATTTATATTGTACTTTACATTCTTAGCTTATAATTTCTCTATAAATTGAGGTCTATTTTTATATCTATATCATGCCCGTATGACCATTATATGTATTTGATATCTTATAAACTCATTGACGAATGTAAACACGTAAGTGTAAAAACATGAATAAATATATCTATCTATCTATCTATTATATCTCTCTGATATAGTGGTAATAAAATATCGTTTTTTTTCTGATTCTCATTTTGTCTCGCATTTTGTTTTGTATTATGCATGTTGATTTTGAAAATGAGCAGGCATTCGGGTAAAATGTTACATATACATATATATGTCACCACAAAAAATCTGAAAAAAGTGTTATCCATTTTTATCACTTGTCAAATTCTGGTAGGACTCACCTTTTTGTGGAAAAATCTAAACCGTTTTTACATAAATGAAAAAACTAAATAGTTCATTATTTTATTGCTGAATTGAATGGTGCTTGTTGAATTTCCATTTGAAATTCATAGATAAAAATAAAAATTCACAGTAAGTATGTGAGAATTTCGTTGCAAGAGGGCAATCTGACTTCGGATTAACCCAGGTAAAAATTCGCCTATTTACCTAGCTCTTGAGAGTCTTGTCCCGAAAGGGAGCCACCTCGGATTGTAAAGAATATGTTTCACGATGAACAGTGTCTCGTTAGAATGGACAAGACGTTTGCCAAAATAAACCATTATTTATGGTTTCCCGGCAAAGGAAAATTCATCAGGAAATATTGCAATCATTGTTTGAAATGCATCGCAGGCAAACAGCACTGTTCAAAACAAGGATTTTCAAACACAATTGATGAAATTATATACGATCCCTGCTTTTGATAGTTTACAGCCGACTAGATATTTGGGTACTACGAGTATGTTTTATTGATTTAACAAAAAAAAAATTATTTTCATCATATATACGAAAATCCGTGCTGAATCTTGAAATTGTAATTGAATAAACACATTTTTTTGTAATAGAAAAAATGAAAAAGCTGCTGGAAATACTATTATTTCATTTTTCTCTCGAAAATGACTGGTGCCTCCTATCAAAATTTAACGACGACCATTTTAGCAATAGTTCATCCTGGTAATCAGAAAAAGTGATAAAATATCACAACACGCCTACTCATTTTTTTCGTGGGTGACTCTGTTGTACCCGGAATAACGGAGCATACGATAACTATTTACGTGGGGACGACGAATTATATTATTGCTATTTCATGTATGAAAAAAAAAACGATAATTTTCATCATCTCCCTTTCTTCCTATATACAGGGTGTTGCGTAATCAAAACAATAGACAAGGTCTTCAAGTGGTCATTTCTCGAGATGCAAAGTGTTTTCCCGTAAACTTGATTTTTTTGCATTTGAATTCGATAAATGGTTTCATCTCTGAATACGTAAATGTTCTACAAGTAGTAAAAGGGGGTTATATGGGACTGCAGGGGTTTTATGGGACATTTGGTATATTTAATTCGAAATTGCCTCCTAAAATTGCTGTCATTATTCCATCGGTCTGTGAAAAATCCTTGGTACAGAGAACTATATTGGAATGTTTGGTTAGCAGTGAAATAACCTCAAGATTTCCATGGGTAGCGACAAAAAAATACTGAAAAAGAGTCAGTAAATAACCTTCTGGTGGGTACAAACTATGCTCCAATGAGATTAATATTCCAGTAACATATTATCTCCCTTTTGGTGATAACAAATATTTGAGGATATGTTTAGTTCTCTCATGTTCTCTGAATATTTTTGAAAAACTGAAAAATTAACTTTTCAGGGGTTTAATGGGACAATGCCAATATTATGATTCCAACAGATTGGACTTGGCCTTAGAGGCAACAGGCAACACCAATAAATGTTCAAATGTGTTCTCGACAAGTCTCGGAAACTCTTCATCAGGTGCCTAGGATTAATTGAAAATCGTTTCATCATGTTTTTATGTGGGTAGGTTATCTATTAATTTCACCTTCAGAAGTCGGCATTATCCCTGATGAACATAGGCTACTTTTTATGGTGCGTCAACTACTATAACCTAACCTAACCTAACCTATAAACTGACCGATTGGGTTGAAATTTCTAATAAGGCGTAAAATAATAAAATACAAAACATACTGAAAGAATGAAAATATGTTTACTATTATAATATACTAATAGAATCGATAGGTAAGCATAACAAAAATTTTTTTAAAAACATGTCGGACTGTAGATGCGCGCACAGCTCAGACCCAGCAAACACGTTACATCACATGGCAGTTTCGCGAAGTCCAAAATTGCAAATGGAAATATGTTTTCAGTTTGATTACGCATATTTGTTCTGAACGTGGTTACTTTGAGACTTTGCTTTGTTAACAAAAAATCTAAGATGCAGTGATAATTATTTCAAGATAATAAACAACCACAACGTCATTACAACAAAATGTGTTGAATTTCTAGATGAAAAGATCGTCATAGAGTGACATCGCGACGAAGTCTATTCGAGAAAGTCATCATATCAAAAGGAATAGAACGGAGAAGTCTCAGAGAATCCTCGCATGAATGGGCCCAATGTGATTAAAAATTAGACATTCATTGTCTCAAAAACTTCCACAGTGACTATACGGCTATATGTTGTATTTGGGCTATTTTTCCAAATCCCAATTTGAACAACACAATTAATGAAATGCGTACTTAATGTCGCGGACATTTCGCTGCAAATAAGAGCGGGAGGAGATGTTTTCCGTACATCGCACGCGGATTTTAGTTGCAAAATTACTTCCATAGTACTTTACAGTTACTGCCCTGTGTTTGCTGGGGAACGACTGCAACAAATGTCTTTTTTTTCAAATGGGTACACCAACCGTGCGAAGTTGAGCCGGACATATTTTATATAATACATCGTTGAATCATCCCCATACGAAAGCGTCTAGGGGTCACACAATTATAAATACATTTTTAAAAATAAATCCAATATATTGGAAAAAATCCAATATATTGGGAAAAAATCCAATATATTGGGAAAAAAATTCAATATATTGGAAAAAAATTCCAATATATTGGATTCATTTTCCAATATATTGGAAAATCATCATAACAAGATTAGACATTGAAATGAACAATAGAGATACGTATAAAATGCCCCAAGAGACCATATTATAATACTGATGGAATTATAAATAGTACCTAAAGGGTTATTTCAAGTTGCATGCAAATATAGCTCATTTTATTATAAATTCAGATGTATCAGATATATTTTTATAGAGAGTCAAAGTGTTTGTGAGTTGCCAAACGATCGAAGCGAGGCTGATATTATTTCGAACAAGCAATACACGCAATACTATACAATAGTAGCTATATTTCTGTAACGCGTAATTTTGCGTAACGTTGTGATTTTACAGAACTTGCATTTCCTAATAGGTATGTCACATAAATACAATATTTTAAATGACGTTTATTGGTGATATTGACTTTTGCTCTGCACTCGCAGAAAGAGAGTGAGAGTACCTAACAATACAATACAATTTCTGACGAGCCGAGTAAGTTGAACAGTATAGGAAAATTATCGTCTCGATATTTCGAACTAAGAGACACAATCATGTACAGTCGATTCGTGGAACAAACACTGTGCGCACGAAGAAGAACTTATTCATCCGTGAGATGAAAAATCCAATATATTGGAAAAAAATTCAATATATATGATGGAAAAAAAATCCAATATATTCGAAACAAAAATTCAATATATTGGAAAAAACAATATATTGGAAAATAAATCCAATAAATTGGATTAAGACTTCATTGAAGCGATAGTCGCAGTAATTAGTATAAGTATCATAGAAGTTCATGCATAATTTTGGATGGAAAATTTTGTATT